AAATCTGAATTTCTTAAACGTTTTTATCTTTGATACTACAGACAGTTACTATAGACATTTATTTTTATATTTGTATTATTTTCATGTGCAGTGTATGTCCATCATGCCAAAAGATATTAAATTTTTGTCAAAAAGACGAAGAAATCAAATTCTTCAAAAATTACAAAATAATAAATATTTTGATTCCATCATATCAAATATATCATCTAATATAATTGAAGAAACGGCTAATACTTCCGTCAAAAGTCATAGCATATGTACAAGTAATTTATTAGTTGCAGATATAAATAAGGAAAATGAATTATTAGTAGAATTGCAATATAATAACAATGAATTGGAAAACACTGAAGAGCATATTCTTGAAACAAAGCATAACATGTCTCCATTAATAGATATATCTTCTTATAATAATGAACAAAGTTTAGGAGTAGATTTACAAACTTTTATTATTGAACATAATATTCCTCATAACAGTGCTAATGAGTTACTTCGAATTCTAAGAAAATATGGTCATGCAGAATTACCTAATGATGTTAGAACTTTAGTTCATACACCAAGAAACGTATCTGCAAAAATTAAATGCATGGGTGATGGTCATTATGCACATTTTGGACTTACGTCTGGTCTAGAGCGATCTATAAGAATATATTCTAAATTTATTAAAACCAATGAAATTAAGATAAATGTAAATATTGATGGTTTACCAATTGCGAAAAGTTCTAGTAGCCAATTCTGGCCCATAATGGCATCTATCGAAGGAATTGATGTTTATACATCACCATTTATACTTGGAATATATCACGGTATGAGTAAACCGAATAGCGCTAATGAATTTCTAACCAATTTTGTAAATGAATTTATATTCTTCTCTAGAAATAACATTACTGTTTGTAATAATAAATATTCAGTCAGTATTAACGCTATATTATGTGATGCTCCAGCAAAATCATTCATTACATACACAAAAGGCCATACGGGATATTTTTCGTGTTCAAAATGTATACAAGAAGGCGATTTTGTTCAAAATAGAGTAATTTTTCCTGAAATAAACAATATTTTACGTACAAATGATTCTTTTAAAAATCGAATTCAAATTGAATACCATACAGGAAATTCTATATTAGAGAATCTTTCAATTGGAATGATTTCACAAATACCATTAGATTATATGCATCTTGTGTGCTTAGGTGTAATGAAACGTTTGTTGCAATTGTGGCTTAGGGGAAATAAAAATATTAGATTATTAACAGAAGATATTGATTCAGTTTCGCAACACTTGATTGCAATTAGGCATTACATTCCATCTGAATTTTCAAGAAAACCTCGAAGTATACATGATGTAGATAATTGGAAAGCTACAGAATTCCGACAATTTTTATTGTATACTGAAATGATCACAATGAAATCAAAATTATCTTCCACTTGTTATAATCATTTCCTCGCTCTTAGTGTTGCGATAAGGATACTGGCTGATCCGCAATTATGTATGACATTTAATTCCTATGCAAAGTCATTATTATTATGGTTTGTTTCAAATTACGGGACTATTTATGGTGAGAAATACTTGTCGCATAATGTTCATAATTTGTTGCATTTAGCAAATGATGTCAAAACTTTTGGTTGTTTAGATAATTTCAGTTGTTTCAAATACGAAAATTATATGCAAAAAATTAAAAAAAAATTGCATCAATCTGGAAAACCTTTGCAGGAATTGACTAATCGTATCTTTGAGGAATTAAGACAACCAATTAAGCAGTGTTCTATAGTTAAATATCCAATTGTTGTTTACACAAGCAATAAAAAAATTTCATATTTTCAATATAAAAGCTTCACAATTGCAATAAACGATGTCGACAAATGTGCTTTACTTCATAATTCTGTGATCTTTATTTTGGATGTATTTGAAAAAGAAAACGTATTATATTTTCGAGTGCAACGATTCTTAAACCCAAGATCTCTTTTTACTATGCCATGTCCTTCAGAAAGACTAGGAATATTTATTATATCAAAGGCAACTACCTATGACATAATCACAGTTCCTGTAACACAAATAGAAAGAAAATGGAATTTTAGAAGGAGCAAGTCCAAAAAATGAAACTACGAACATGCACACTTTGTCATATATATATTGGAGGGAGACGACGTCCGGACGAACCGAACAAAATAAATTTTTATCAAGAAAACAAATATCCTTCCATATCTTTGAATAGAAGGCACAGACAAAAAAAACACAAGAATACTTTTTTCTTTAGTTTTTTAACGCGAATCGAACGAGACTAAAAAGAAATCGATCGGTTCAGTTGTTATTGAAAAATTGCTGATTAGACATCTCCCCTCCACTGAAAAACTTTATTCTCGTGTAAATAAGACACAGCGTGCTCGCGCAGTTCGAGCGCCACTTCGTTGCGCGTGAACTTGGCGCGAGGCACGACCGTGCCTCTTGATTTCCGAGAAATTCTGTCCCTGACGCGGCACGATATAGTACACTCCTCTGTACAAAAACATACACATGTACATATACACGTGATTTATACTTATTTTATTGTGATCGATATTGTTTCAGATCCTCGAACAAAAGGCTTTTCTCACGATGGGAAGATGCATAGTGATCGATACATCAGCATATACAGTCTTGTAACAAACACAGAAAAACGAATGTGCATCGAACTGTTCGAAATATCTGTAGCTACAGCTCTTTTGTTATACCTTTTAGCGACACGCACTGCGATGTTTGGCACTAAACTACCTGAAGATTTCAAATTGTTGGCGAAAAACAAGGACGTTACGTTTATCGGTGGTCTTATTATGAGACACATGCAGATCTTTCTTAACAATTTCTGCATTTTTCAAGAAATGCAAGGTTTGAATTACTTAAGCTATGGTGTGGCTGCTATGCCATTTTTCAGCTTGTTTAATCATAGCTGCAATCCAAATATACAAATATGTTCGAGAGCTAAGCACGCAGTGATGCACGTCATATATCCCATTAAAAAGGGCGAGCAGGTGTAGTATATTGCCTCGTGACACAGTTGTTGTTTACAGTATAGTTATGGTAACGTTTATCTTATTACAGCTTTTAAATACCTATGCGCATTATGCAATCTACGACCGAGAAGCCAGACAAAAGAAGCTCGAAGGGTATTATTTTACCTGTGATTGCATACCGTGCCAGGAAAACTGGCCTTTATTATGTCACGAACTACAGTCATACAATGTAAATGAAAGAATCAGAGTTTGCTTAATATGATTGTTAGAACTAAAGAATTGTTTGATGATAACGATCATCTAACGTTTCATTTTTGGCACAGATTTTAGTGAAAAAAACGGCAGACAAGGTTAAGATACAAAAAGCGTTACGCAAGTTAAATACATATATCTTTATAACAGCGGAGGATACAGTACAGGACAAACCTTACATCATTGAAGATTTACTAATGATGGTGCAAGTACTACACGAATGCGCGCCGATGCTTTGTCTTGAGATGTTCAACGTCATTGCAACATTAACGCGGGTGTACAACTTGATTGCAAATAGATTTGAAATACCAAAATTGTGGAAAAGCGAAAAGTAAAAGAGAAATATTTTATTACATTTTTTGACTGACGAAGTATAAAGCATTCTATGTGAGTGGGATGCATGAAATAAGAAAAGATTAAGAAGTTTTGTTTTTGTAGTATTTGTTTCTACAATGTGTGATTTTAACGTAAGAAGCTATCTTATCGAGATTCTTTGAAAGAGATTTATATTTTTCTGGTTAATATATCTAAAAAAGTTTTGTGTAAAAGATATTATCTAAAAGTATTGTTTAAGGAAATATATATATAATACACACACACACACACACACACCCACCCACACCTACACCCATCCACACACACCCACTCCCACCCCCAATACACGCACACGTTTACACATCGAAAAATGTTATATTTACTAAGTGTAATATTTTAACAATGTACTGTGGTTTTGAAGTATTGTATTTGTATTAAAAAAAAAAATAGTAAAACGACTATGGACAATATAGAATACTATGAAATCGCTGTAACGTTAAATTTTTGTATGTATCATTTTTTTAATTTCCTTTCATTTTACTTCTATTTATAATGATATGCAAATAAAATAAAATAAAATAAAAAAATAGTAACTGCTAATAAGTAATAATGGTAGTTACATCACTCAAAAAAGTATGTAGTCTTTATTAGAAGACTTGTGATTTAATTATAAGTTGTACATAAGTTGGTAATATTTTCTTATTACATTATCACTAACCAAACGATAATGGGAGAGAGATGAAAGAGAGTCATTGCAACAGTCGGCGGATAAGTTGTTCCTAAATTACGAGTGTTAAGATTTTCTATGGAGATGTTTTTTTTTTCTGTGTCTATGTACGTAATCCGCCACTCTACACCTGGATACACCGGACTATGCCGTTTGAAATAATGTTCCAATACATCCGCTGTTGTGACACCTGTTTAAATTTGATATCATCATAAATATTGGTCGAAAGATAATAAAATACGTATAAAATAAAACAATCGTATTAAAAAATAAATTTAATAAACTGCAAAAAATAAATATTTGATAATCGTGTAAACATACCGAAAGACGTTGTCTCGAGGTCTTCCAGCATGTGAAAACCATCTCCTCCCTTTGCAAGAAAATCGTTGAAGAGAATAGTGTAGGTGGCATTCTTTTGAAGCTCGCTGTATGTCGGTACTCGACAAGCGGCGCATCGAACTTGAATGGAAACTACTCTCGAGTTCGGTGGTTGATTTATGTTATAGACCACCTGGAAGTTTGTTTTTAATGAAACGGTATAAAAAAAAACATGCAAAGCAAATTGAAGCAATTAAAAACTATCAGTTTCGTGTAAGAAACGGCGGAGTAAAAATCATGTCAAAACTCATTATAATAATTATATAATAATTATTATATAATAAGTCGTCATATAATAGATCAAATAAATTTGTATTCACTTAAACAAAACATTACGCACCCTGTTAAATAATTTTTAATTGTTATAATAATTAATAATTATCGGAGAAAAAACAGGATGCGTAATTTTTTGTTTAACTGAATACAAATTTATTCGATTTATTGTTTAACAATTTACCTGCAGTCCTGAGTATTGCAAGTAAGCGCCAAACAAATTTCCGGTGGAAGTTGTGTCGTTGAGATTATGAACACTCCATTCTAACATCGAGAGTATCTGCTCTCCTGTCATAGAGGCTTTAACGACGACATTTCCGAAAGGCAAAACGCTTATGATATCACCTCGAGTTACCTGTAAGCGATATGATTATGACAAGAATGTGCTTGAAGAAATAAACTTTGAATTCATATATATTAATTATACTTCATCGTTTCTCGCTCTTGTAATGGACGATCTGATGCTGCCGCTGTTCTGTATCGCGATGGCAACATCCGTCCACCCGTTCAGAGATGCCAGATTCTGAACACTTGGTAGCATGCGGTAGCAGCGGCATCGCGCCCGCAGCTCGAGCGCACACGTACACGATCTGAGCAGAGATGCCAGTTCGTGGACTTAGTAAGCATTCAGCATCAAGTGGAGGGGATACGCACACAGGCGACAGCCGTGTCCGTGTGGTTGGTCAACCATTGGCCGAAGCGCCGAGCGCACACGGACACGGTTGTCGCCTGTGTGCGTATCCCCTCCACTTGATGCTGAATGCTTACTAAGTCCACGAACTGGCATCTCTGGATCTGAGGTTGTGTGCGCATCCCTTCCATGCTACCGCATGCTACCAAGTGTTCAGAATCTGGCATCTCTGCACCCGTTCTCGTTCAAATGTTCCACAATGTACTACAAGCAAACAATACACACGGTATCAATACACTTTCATCATTTTCTTCTAAGAATACAAATATGTATTGCAATACTGACAAAACATAATAAGAAAATGTTTTCTCAAAGTGAGATATATATACATTTCGCCGACTGAGAAAATCTTACATAATCAATTAGAGCATCACAGATCAAATTTCCCATATTGCATTCGCGCCGTCTGCAATTTTTGCTATCTCCGTCGAGAAACACTCGCGTCTTTCCGATCACCTTGTGTTCCAGATCGTCAATGAGTTTTCTCATGGAGCGTATCATTTCCCAAACATCTTCCACCTGCGGAAAAAATAACACGAAAAAATAAATAAACGTGATATAATTAGTATAATTATATTATTATAAAATATAATATTATTACAATTATATTAATATTGGTATAATTACAATATATCCACTTGTATACGTAGAAGAGAAAAACATATATATAATGTACGTAATTGTTGATTAAAAATTATGTACCTCCATCACACTGGAGTCGACAAAAATCGGATTCCCCTCAATATGCGCGATTTCTCCTTTAACGTCGAAACTCGCAGAAAAATTACCCAAATACTTGGTGTACGCGTACGCCTGAACGACGTAGACTTTTCTCCCGTTCTTCTGTATCACCTCGGTAGGGTAAAAACCTTTCGGCATCTCGACATCGGGCTGTTGACCACGATACAGAAAGATATTAGTGTGACCGCCGATCACTAGATCGATCTCTTCGACCTCCTTGGCGATCTTCTTGTCCGTTTCGAAACCGGAGTGTCCGAGAGCGATGAGAATGTCGACGCCTTGTTCTCGCAGTTTCGTCACTTCCTTCCGAATAGCTTCTACTTCGTCCATGAAGATCACGTTTTCGGTGCTCGACGGGATCTTCGTTTCTGGCGTCAGGTAGCCGATTACACCGATCTTTCTGCCGTTCACCTCAAGAACCGTACTGTTCTTCAGATTCGTCGCGGCCAGATCGGGCTGCTCGCTGAGATCCAGATTCGCCGTTACGATGGGAAATGTTGCATTTTGTATAAATGGTATTAAACCGGCGACGCCGTCGTCAAACTCATGATTGCCTAAACTCTGTTAGAATTCAGAAAAATGCAATATATGTATAATAAGACAAATGTTCTAGGATCCGAACGTTTAAAAAATAGCAGCAACATATCCGCTGGTTTAATGTGTAAAAGTTCCATAAAATTAAACAATTTTTGTTTTATAACAAGTTGATACACTTTTTTTATATTATATTTTTTTGTGACTGATAAAGACTCTAGTAAGATTAGAAACGTTTCACTAGTATTTAAAATTTTTGTTTATTTATATATATCACTTTTACACCATCAACATCTGGTCGTTGCTCGTTATTATTTGACCTTTCTATTTATTTGTACGTATTTATTACTGCGAGCGTTTATATATTTTTTTTATTTTGATACACTCAATTACTGAAAACTGAAACCATTAACTTTCTGAAATTACGTTAAGCGTATTTATTTTAATAAAAATACGAAAATGTGCAAATCCCAGCAAATAATTTAAAAGTGCGTTTATAACTAACAATTTTCAATATTATTTTATCATTATTTCAATTCATGTTAATAAATACTTTATAATAGCAATTTTTTGTTTTTAATTACGTTAAAAATTAAGATACAAAATAAATGCAATTTGCATTATTGTCCGGATATCAGAACATGTTCAGTTACTGGGACATTTACCTTATATAACAAAACTATATCTAATTTTATTTCGTGAATGTTGTGAAATTTATTTAGGGCCGGTTGTTCCACCTTCAGATAAAATATCCGGTCATTTATCTAATGATTAAAATTCTGATTTACAGATTTTTTGTTCTACGTGTCGAACGCAGCTTTGAAGTTGCTAAAATATCTCAATACTCACTTCCGAACGTATTTTAGCAGCTACAAGGCTGCATTTGACACGTAGAACAACGCAAATCAAAGTTTTAAATATTAGATAAATTACCCAATATTTTATCTGAAGGTGGAACAACCGGCCCTTAATCTGAAACAAACTTACTTTTTTCAAAAAAAGGCGCCAAGTACACGCGCAACATATGTTTTTGTTACGTTGTTTTGAAAAAGTAAGTTCGAGATATTAATTAATACCACAAAATTCGAATCGTGATAAAATGAAATACGCGTCCAGAAACGTATATTTCGTATTGTCCGTATTGTAGGGGAAAAGTGGCATGAAAGAGCTAGGTTTTGAAAGAGCCATTTTCAATTATTCGGCGGTTTCTGAACGAATTTCACAGAAGTTTTAATTTTTATATAGCAACACTAGACGTGTGTCATCCACAAACATTTGACAGATTATTAAAAATAAATAGCGTCGGTGCATCGTATTAAAGATTTTGTCATTGAAAAGTAAATTTTTGGGTTTTATTTCTTTGTTTTTTAACATTTTTGTGTAAAGAAATAATACAAAAATGATTATATCACGATTTTATATATGTATTTAGTCTCCTAAGTATGTAAATATTTCTCATTCATAGCCTTAATTTGATAGTGTATTTTGAGATTATAATTTTTAGGAGGAAAAGTTTTGAAAGAGCCGGACTATAGTGTGATGAAAGAGCCGGCTACCAAACAATCAAAAAATCTTTTTAATAAAACATCTAGCTCTGACAGTGAATGTAACGATGATTTGTTTTCAGATTCTGATGAAATATTATCAAAAAAAAAAAAAAAAGGAAACTAGAAAAAGAAAATAATTATAATAATTGTATAGTGTGCACTATAAACGTTATAAAAAGAGTAAGCAAATATGATTTCAGTGTAAACTTTATTCTGATTGGACATATAGAACGTGTGGGATAAAAGAGATGCTAAAATTATTTTTGTCAAAATTGCTTCTAAAGATACCTAAGAAATGAAGTTTTTTTTCTCAATTGTAATTTTAAAAAGTTGTTTTGAAAGTTTGACTAATAAAGGAAGAGTTACTTAGATTTAAGTAAAAAATATATAAATTTAGTTGATGGTTTTGTTAATTTTGAAGAGATTGTTATGAAACTAGTTTTAGCATTTTGGTTAACAATTGTTTGTTAACAATTATATTAATGTTTTGTTAACAATTGTATTAATGTCTATTAATAGTTTGTTTATTATTTTGTTTATAAACAGTTAAAGATTCTTGTTATAAGAAGGCGGCTCTTTCATAACATTCGATGGCTNTTTCAATGCCCATATGTTATGAAAGAGCCAAATTTTTGTTTTTTTTTAAATGGACATATGTCTACTAATCGTGTTGTTTTTGGTCTTCTTTTTTATTGCATTGTATACTTGATTAAATAAACAACAAATTGATGTAAGAAACATTATGCTTGATTATTTTTTACATCGTTTTTTTAGCCCTTTACTAAAACTGGCTCTTTCATGCCACTCTTCCCCTACGTCTTTAAAATAAAAATTGTGTGTAAAGATTGGCTTTGTTCCGACAAAGATTAAATAAAAACATTGAAGTTTAATGTTTTATGATATTTAATATGGGTTTTCAATTTCCTTCCTTTCAAATTGTCCAATATATAAGTATATTCATAATAGATCATAACGTCGATCGGTTGCAAAAATGAAAGGCTTCAATGTGTTTACTGTGGACACGTGGACGCGCGACGTTCTACGTTTCTCGCTCATCTCACACATCGAGATTTTTGTGTTGGTGATATCGCTATTTGTGGAATCAATAGACAATAATGTACTTTTTTGAAATACATAAAATGTCATGCATTTTCCTATAGAAAATGAACCTAAAATATTCAATCAACTTTGCTACAGAGATCTGTCATGTAACAATATGAAACATTTTCGCAACAATTTTATAATATGTAAGTTTTATGTTTTGCAATGATGTTAAGTAATATTATGAAGAAGTGGTCTTCCGCACTACCCATGAGGTGCCACTTATAATAGCGCGTTAGGTTTTTTTACGTGGACCTTCGCCAGTAGCCCTATTCCACCACATTTTTTTTCGCATCTGTTTTTCAATATCGATGTCGGATATAGAATGCCAGACAGACTAAGATTCTACACATTAATTATTTTCTGATGTTAATGTCGGATATGTAGAATGCCAGACATACTAAGATTTAAAGACATTTATTATTTTTACATGTAAATGTCGGATATATAGAATCCTCTATATATGCTCCTCCAAATTAATTTTTAAAATATTGCAAAAAAAACTCTTCGGTCAGGAGGATTTTCGCAATATTTTAAAAATTAATTTGGGGGGGTATTCGGGGTCTCTCACGTATGAGATGCAATAATAGCATTCTATGTGAATTTTCAGAATTGAAATCTCCATTCAAAAACTCACGTGTAAATTTACATGTAAACATATATATTGCAACGCGCACCCCGCACTCGGGTGTTTAGGCGAAGGTGCGGCGCACCTTCGGCACGCCGATTTCACAAACAGATAAGAAATTTTTCGACACCAAAATGATAAAAGAAAATTGAATCTCACTCACGTACTTCTTAGTTGGGCGCCAGGCGTGAATCCACGCCGAATTCGTCAATCTCTCATACGCCACATAGGTGTGAAACAATCAGGCGTGACGGCAATACTAATCTTACTTGGCAGCTCAGTTTAATTAACTTATATAATTACGGAGAGGCGTGGGCTCAGGAGGCGGTATTAAATAAGGTAGAAAAACTTAGTGTAAGGTAGTACTCTCAAAATAATGCACTCGACAATATATAGAAAAAAATAGAGATAACAGTTTATTGTCACTCGCCAACAAAAAAAGAAAAAAAAAGTACACACAGAGTATTCGGCATTTAATTCCCGCGTCTTCGGACCGGCAGCATTCAAAAATAACTCCATTCACAAAGTTTCCCGTGCGTTACGCCGTGTATCGCCAAGTCGTTATTATATGTGAGGCGGTAATGAATCTAAGTCAAGATAATGTAACAAAGACGCTCGCGAGATGAAGTTAACACGCCGGAATGCGCTAGCGTGAGCACACGACAGACGATACGGCGGGCAATAGATTATCGTCGCGGCACAAGAATTGTCCGGGCGCGCGTGGCCCTGGGAGCGGTACGCTAGACAATAGCTTCCCCGCAAGAAAGTAGAATTGTCCCGGGGATCTAGCCGTAAGGAGTTGACACGGCAAATGAGTTGTCCAGTCCCGCGCGCACACAGGCGACTGGCGTAGCGGACAATATTTATTCAGCGGCAACGAAATATCCGCAATTCGGAACCACGTGCGAATCTCCGTTATAATTTTGATATTCTTAAACGATCTCACTCGGACTGAAGATAAAGCGAAATACGAACACGGTACATTAGAGCCAATTTTCCGGCAACGGTTCTTATTTAGTCCGACGGTAAGCGCGGTACATGCACGAATATAATACGGCACGAAAACACAAAAAAAAACGCAAACATGTAACGCTACCGAATAACGAGCTAATACAAAGCCCGACTTGTTGCGACTTTACAGGGAGGCGAGAGCAGCGGCAAAGAATTATCACCGACGCAAATTAATGATAGCGACGTATATTTCGGCACCAAAAGAAAAGAACAATAGTATCGTGAGAGATCGAGCTCGCCGCGTAATCGACGAGACTCGATTCTCCAATGATATCGTGTAAAACCGCAAAAAATATCGTGTGCGAGAGAGAAGAGCAGACATTTACGTTTGTCGACCTCCTCGTCACCTGACAGTCACTCTGGCCAGCCTTCACGGTTCCTCCACGGGGTCTTCCGGCACTCACTGTCGGCACTTCGCGATACTTGACGGTGAACCCGCGAGTCCAGAGGTAATCGCAACAATGAACTTTCTCGTTCCGCAATCGCTCCGCTTAGCTAAGCGCGACTCTTCGCGCTTCGCATCGGAGCCAATCAGAAGCTGTCATTTTTGGCGTCAAGATTGACAGCGGCCGCGCATTCCTCGGCACAGTGATAGCTCGGGCCCTTTCCTGGCCGTATCATCCTCATTTTGCTGCCATTATATTTCGGGGTAAGCTTGCTGGAGCTCATCTCGCGGCATATTCGAGGCTGATTGCTCCCTCGGAAGCTCCGACTCCGGTTGTTTGGAGTTCGGAGTGCGCTTCTTCCTTCTTTGAGCCCTTCGCCAACATCTTTCCGCTTATTCAATGCTCTGAGTGTCGTACGCCCCTGAAGTTCTCGCTATCTTCACCTTCTCTCCTTTTCCTGCTTACCGGTCGACGCTCACATACAGCGTGTCGCTCTCTCTCTCTCTCTACGTTGTACCTACCGACTATGATAACCGCGAAGTGGCTTGCACTATAATTAATACGGATGTCGCATCGTGGCGATATCCTTACAAAGGGAAAAACGCTGTAAAAGTTTTAATACAATAAAATATTAATACAATTCGAGAACCAACGGGTTCCGCCTCGCTCGACTTAGGCGCCAAGCGCCTCCACAACATAAGCGCATTTGCCTGCGCTACATACCCTAACGAGCTGCTCTCCCTAAAATAGTGGAAGACGCGAGCTCACCGCCTCCTGTGCCGGCCGGAACGTATCCTTGTGACAAACACGAAAAGTGTCACGTCACAACTCCCCCCAACCCGAGGAGGACCGAGGAGACGAAACGGCGACTCGGTCGCTGATTCTCTTCGCACACCAGAAATTAGCCATAAAATAACCAATAGTCCGACCCTCTCGTGACTTACCGAAGACCTTTGGGCCTTACGGCCACGGTACTGTATCCTCTGCTCACCCCTCGTCTGGCACGGTCGCCTCTCTATTTTCTCCGTCACGGTGACGGCGTCACCGAACTATCACCACCTCCACCTTCTATGAACGGAGAGTACGCAAACAAAAACAAATAAAAGAAACAACACACCCACTTTGGCAACCATCTTTATTTATTTTCCTTACAATAGGTACTGTGAATAATACTGAATAATACTGTACGATTAATACTGTGGGATTAACAATATGGTTATTACAAAAGAATACACAAAAAGAAAACTACTATTTAACGTGTCGGCAAGCGAATAACAGACAAACAAAAAAAAACTCATATATATGATACGGATAAAAGAAAAACGGCAAGGGTTATTCGTTGGCTTCGTAATAAGGTTTAAGGTCCTTCACATGTACTCGACCCATTGCTTCGTTATCCAAGCTTACCTTCATATACCACGGATGATACTTTTTTACTTACGCGGTGTGGCCCCTGATATTTAGGTGCTAACTTTGCGGCAATATTTTGTGTCGCGGAGGACAAGATGCGATTTCTTTTCCATACTAAATCACCGACGCTATATGACACATCTCGATGACGCAAATTATATGCTTCGGACTGCTTCCGATAAGCTTTTTCGAGATTTTCCGTCACCCAGTCTTTTAACGCGGACAACTGAGTGATGCGCTCTTTCCATTTCGCCGGGGGTTGTTCGGCAACCTCCTCGACATTCGCTAGACGATTCCTCAGGGAACGTATCGGCAACAATTCTCGACCCAAATTCAAGAAAGCTGGTGACGCACCAGTGGACGTATGAAGTGCAGTATTGTAGGCAAAGCAAAAGTCTCGCAAGTGGAGATCCCACTCGCGATGATCTCTGTCAAGGAACGCTATTATCATTGTCTTTAAAATTCTATTTACAGTTTCTGTTTCAACAATGTATGTACCATTCAAATTCGTATATATTTGAAAAGTACAATCGTCTGTCATTTTACAATTCTTTAGCATAATAAACATGTAAGCAAACCTGTTGATTGTAAACTTTCTGAAATCTAACAGTTTGTACCTTACAAATTTATACTTATTTGGAACGTACAAACGTTCTTCATTACAGTTTCGTTTTCAACAATGTATGTATCATTCAAATTTGTATACATTTGAAAAGTACAATCGTCTGTCATTTCACAATTCTTTGGCATAATAAACATGTAAGCAAATTTGTTGATCGTACACTTTCTGAAATCTAACAGGTTGTACCTTACAAATTCATACTTATTTAGAACGTACAAACGTACTAAATTACAGTTTCTGTTTCAACAGTGTATGTACCATTCAAATTTGTATATATTTGAGAAGTACAATCGTCTGTCATTTCACAATCATGTGGCATAGTAAACATGTAACCAAATCTGTTGATCGTACATTTTCTGAAATCTAACAGTTTGTACCTTACAAAAACATCCTAATTTGAAAGGTACAAACGTTGTACATTACAATTTCTGTTTCAACAGTGTATGTACCATTCAAATTTGTTTATATTTGAAAACTACAATCGTCTGTCATTTCACAATTCTTTGGCATAATAAACATGTAAGCAAACTTGGTGATCGTACACTTTCTAAAATCTAATAGTTTGTACCTTACAAATTCATACTTATTTGGAACGTACAAACGTACTACATTACAGTTTCTGTTTCAACAGTGTATGTACCATTCGAATTTGTATATATTTGAGAAGTACAATCGTCTGTCATTTCACAATCATGTGGCATAGTAAACATGTAACCAAATCTGTTGATCGTACATTTTCTGAAATCTAACAGTTTGTACCTTACAAAAACATCCTAATTTGGAAGGTACAAACGTTATACATTACAATTTTTGTTTCAACAGTGTATGTACCATTCAAATTTGTTTATATTTGAAAAGTACAATTATCAGTCATTTCACAATCTTTTGGCGTACTAAACATGTAAGCAAACCTGTTGATTGTACTCTTTCTGACATTTCACAATTTGTACCTTAGAAAAACATCTTTATTTAGAAGGTACAAACGTTATACATTACACTTTCTGTTTCAACAGTGTATGTACTAATCAAAGTCGTATATATTTGAGAAGTGCAATTGTTTGGCATTTCACAATTCTTTGGTATAATAAACATATAGGCAAACCTGTTGATTGTACACTTTCTGACATTTCTCAGTTTGTACCTTACAAATTCATATTTATTCGGAAAGTACAAAGGTACTACATTACAGTTTCAATTTTAACAGTGTATGTATCATTCGAATTTGTATATATTTGAAAAGTACAATCGTCTGTCACTTCACAATCATGTGGCATAGTAAACATGTAACCAAACCTGTTGATCGTACACTTATTTATCAGTATACTTCATATNTATATTAGATCTGCTCAGATAAGAATATCACTAAGGATGTCTGAGAAGATGTAACATAAATCTAATATAATCTGAATGGGTGACACTCTATTGACCACAGTACGATTCGACACCGCTCGATTCGACACAGATTTATTCGACACCAAATTATTCGACACCGTACGATTCGAC